TCTCAAGGCCATTGGTTCCACATCATCGTCCGCGTTAGTGTTCTAAAAGTCCATGACAATATGAGTTGAAAAATACCAAGATTGACACAAAACAAAAGTGAACCCAGCTAATTGAATCCTCCCCAATATGGTTGCTTTTGAACAGTGTTGTGGCCAAGGGGACGGGCACAATACTACCTATGCCTTGTTCATGGGATGTTTCATTCGCACGGCTGATGATGTACAACTTTTGCTTGAATGTAAATTATGAATAGGCTTATCTTTGTTGGGCACAACTCCTGAATACCTTTCATAACAACCTATCGTCGGCTCTTTCGGGCCTAGCTATTGCAGTGACGCTTGCAGGCACGATTCAAACAATGTATGCTATGTTGCAGTACTATCATCCTAAGTAGTAGGAAGCATCTAGAAAGAGTTATTGGAGACTCATGTTCTCTTTCCATTAAATGTTGTCCACCCCATTCTTCTAAACTTGTTCACTTTACAAATGTGGTTTGATATAAAAAAAATTTCGGGATTACGATATCCAAAATTCGGACTAAATGAAGAAGGGCCATGATATTTTCTTTGTTAATAATCCAATCAATTTGATTGAACCTAAGTAAATTATGAAAAATAATATTTATCTATTTTCTAACCCAAATTCGGCCAAACTTTTATCGGGCATAATTCAACATTCCATTGAGTTAATATTTACACCAAAAGCTCGTTACCCAATTGTTTAAAAAAATGTGATTCAATTTTCAAAAAAGAGATCGTGAAATTTCAGAAAGAAGACCGAACTACTTGCCATGATATTTCCTTCTTTGAAAATTTGATTGCCATGATTGATTCTAAGTAATTAAGATGGTTCGAAAGCTTTACATCTCACAAAGTCAAGCATTTTATATCATATAGTTGGGAAAAATTTTGTTAAAAATAATACTCACATATTTTTACCCAAATTTGACCAAAGTTTGACCGGGCATAACTTTTCCGTCCAACATCCTATTGACTCGATTTTTCCACCTACGAGAAGCTCGTGACCCAATTGTTTCAAAAATATGGTTCGATTTCAAGAATAAGTGTAGGGATGTGAAATTTCATAAATTGGATCGAACGGATGTTGTCTCAAGCCCATTAGTACGTCATTCTCCACGTTAGTGTTCTAATAGTCTATGACTACATCAGATAAAAAATGCCAAAATTGACACAAAACAAAAGTGAACCTAGCTAATTGGATCCTTTGGTTGCTTTTGAAGAGTGTCGTGGCCAAGGGGACGGGTACATAACTGCCTATGCCATATTCATAGGATGCCTTATCCTCACGGCTGATGATGTACAACTTTTGTGTGACTATAAAGCTATCTTGAATTTCGGCATGAGCAACAAGGATTTTGTACGCTTCTTTGGTGATGTTTGCAACGACCCTTCTTTCGCCATCCAAGGGGGACATTTGGCATCACACTCTGAAATTTTAACAGAGTCTCTTAAGTATGAACGACCTTATCTTTGCTGGGCACAACTCGTAAATGTCTTTCATGAAAACTTATCGTCGACTCTTTAGAGCTATATGTTGTAATGGAGCTTATAGGCATGATTTCAAACGGTGTACGTTGTGTTGCAGTACTATCATCCCAAGTAACATGGAGCATCTATAAAGGGATATTGGTAATTCATGTTCTCTTTCCATAGAAATGATACAGTGCAGAATGGCCGAATGAAATCATGGTTGTCTATGTGAGGCAGTATGCAGTTCCCTTCTACATAAATGTTGACAATGAGCCAAAAATCAAAACCAGAAAAATGTTCGTCCATGAAAAAAAGGAGTCAGCTCTCAGTATGCTCTTTGGAGGTAATACGTACCAACGAATCAATCTTTTTATCATAACCTTAAAAAGTTGAAATGTTGGTCATTCCATTCTTCTAGACTTGTTAATAATCCAATCGTTATGATGGAACCTAGTAAATTATGAAAAATAATATTTATCTATTTTCTTACTGAAATTTGGCCAAAATTTGACCAGGCATAATTCAACATCCCATTGAGTCAATTTTTACCCTTACGAAAAGCTCGTTACCCAATTTTTTTAAAAATTAGATTCGATTTTCAAAAAAGTATCAGGATTCCAAATTTTAAAAAATAGGACCAAACAGCTAGTCATGATATTTCCTTCTTTGAAAATTTTATAGCCATGATTGATTCTAAGTAATTAAGATGATTCGATAGCTCTAAATTGGTCAAGTAATTTTTATTATATAATTGGGAACATTTTGTAAAAAATAATATTTATATGTTTTTATGCCCAAATTTGACCAAAGTTTGACCGGGCATGACTTTTTCGTCTAATGTCCCGTTGACTCGATTTTTGCATCTACGGGAAGCTCGTGACCCGATTTTTTCAAAAATGTGGTTCGATTTCAAGAATAAGTGTTAGGAACATGAATTTTCATAAATTGGAGCGATTGGACGTCGTCTCAAGCCCATTGGTTCCACATCATCATCCATGTTAGTGTTCTCTTGTGGTTCAACTATATAGATGAGGTTTTCAAGGCAGATATGGGTTTAATTCGGTCTAGCATAGTGTGTAGGAATCTCCACTTGTGCCCCTAAAGCACTTGCAAGTGTGATTCTCCATGGTGGTATGGGCCAATAGAGACGATATGAGGCCGGCACGCCTTGGCAAATCCTCCGGCAAGTACCTTGGGGACTCTACAGATGGTACATCTGTTTTCGTCTGCTAATTTCGAGGCTACCTCAATATCTTCTGACATGGAGAGCAATAAGTTCTGTTTCATGAGCTCGATTCCATGTTCGCTGGCGGTTGGTTGAAGGCCTCCTTGACCGTTGTCCATGCTGAGTGTAGGTTGTAGAATCCACCTGAATTTCTTGCTGGAATTCATTAATTCTATCACACAAGGCATTAATAGAGATCCATACAATCAACTTAGCTTCGCACAAGATATAACTGCACTTAGCAATGGAGAACCAGAACAAAATGTACATAGGAATCATTTCAACCATAGATTGAGAGAGACTCTCGGCTAATAGAAGGCAAAACAACAACCACTTGAACGATCAATGGTCCGACCCATATTGACCCGTTTAACCCGTTTTGCGTTGCATTTGATTTGGGTCAAGTTGAAAATGGTTTGACCCATGTTATCCCATTTGACCCATTTCTATACAACACAATTCTAACGACCCATACCTGACCCGATCCATATTATTAAAAGATTTCAATATTAAATCCAATTTAGGAAAAAATTGTTTCTTATAAATTTTTAAGAATATATATTGCTAAAACATTGTGGACAATTTTTATATTTTTTATAAAAATTCTGATTATTTTAAATATTTTGATTTTTTTTCCTTTCTTTTTTCCTTCTACGTCAGGTGGCCAGCGATGACTGATGACTAGTGGTGTCTAATGACCTTCGACCGGTTGGCGACAACCGACGACCTGCGGCCAGTGGTGACTGGCGACGATCGACGATTAGCAGCGTCTGGCGATGATCGGTGATCGGCGACCAGCCAGCGACCCTTACTGGATTTCCTAGAAAAAAGGAAAAGAAAGAAAAAGAAAAAAATTATGAAAAATCAGAAAATTAAAAAACAACGATTTGTCTGTCTATGACTACTTAGGGTGCGCATGACAACCATTCTGTGCTCGGGAACTATTTCTGAACAGAAATGATTTTTTTTTTATTCTGTGCCTAGAAACAATTTCTGTGCATTTGAAGGCGTTTGCTAAACTGTCCAAAATTTCTATTCCTGGAATAGAAAAGAACAGAAATGCGTTTGGTAACTACACACAAATTTCTTTTTATTAATAATATTTTGAATTGTTTAATTTTTTTTTCTTTCTACCAAGGCCATGGCCGGTCGCCGGCGACCGACCACGGCCCAGGGCCGGTGAGGCCATCATGGCCCTCGCCGGCCGCCGGCGGAGGCGAGGGTCCCCCCTGCCTGCGAGGGCGAGGGCTGGACCCTCGCCGTCGATCATGGCGAGATCGACCTCGCCCTCGCGACCCACAGCGGCCGACCTCGCCGTGGGTCGCGACGGCGAGGCTCGGCCTCGCCGGATCCGAGCGAGGCCGACCTCGCCGTCGCGACCCACGGCGAGGCTCGACCTCGCGGATCCTCGCCGTCGCGACCCACGGCGAGGTCGGCCGCCGTGGGTCGCGACCCACGGCGAGGCTCGGCCTCGCCCGGATCTGGCGAGGCCGAGCCTCGCCGTGGGTCGCGACAGCGAGGCTCGGCCTCACCAGATCTGGGCGAGGCTGACCTCGCCATGACCGACGGTGAGCAGCCTCGCCCAGGCGGCGAGGGTCTAGCCCTCGCCCTCGCCGGTAGGGGGGACCCTCGCCTCCGCCGGCGGCCGGCGAGGGCTGTGATGCCCTCGCCGGCCTTTGTCTGTGGCAGGCCGCCGGTCGCCGGCGACCGGCCACAACCCAAGAAGAGCAACACAAAAAGAAGAAAAGAAAAAGAAGAAAAAAAACTGATTCTCAAAATTGTGCCGAGAAACAAGAAGAAACTTTTTTTTACTTCTTGTTTCTCTTCCAAAACTGTTTCTCGGCACAAATATTTGCAAAAATGTGCCCGGGAACAAAAAGTTTACCAAACGCATTTCTGTTCCCAAACTATTTCTGGGAACAAAAGAACAGAAATTTTCACTGTTTGGAACGTTACCAAACGGGCCCTTAACTAACCCATTGAAGACCCATTAAGTGGTTAACTAATCCATTTATGATCCACTTAAGCTTGTTTTCATTCATATTATTAAATATGGATTAAAATACGGGTTATAGATCCATTTTGCCACCTCTACCTACACTTTAAGTCTTGACCAAAGACAACATAAGTTTTTCTAATGTTCAGTGACGAAGAAACTCAATCAAACATTATTGATTCCATTCTTCATTTTCAATAATGCAAAGTGACCTTTACCCGGAAGAGCGCAAAGGAGGGTAATGGGCAAGGGCTTTGCAAGCTCTCGTCCTCATCAGGTGCTGATTACCAAGGTCCCTGCAAAGCACAGTGGTTGAATGGTTAAGCTCAACTTCTTCTTGCCCATCCACTTTCCATCCTCCACACAACACCCAACAAATTTAAAGAACCTGCAAAAATAATAAAAAAGACAACATTTTGGATGAACCAATAGAGTGATGAGAGACGCAAAATAGAGGTGGCAAATGGGTGGGTTGGATTCGGTTGGGTGGATCGATTCTTCGATTGATAGGAGGAAAGCAAAATCGAGAGGCGTGCTTGAGTTGAGCGAATTGAAGGAATGCATGCGGTCAGTTGAATATCTGGCGATTAGTCATCCCTCCCAACCACCACGTTGGCTTTTCCGTCCGATCCGGTCGGGCAAATTGGGTATAATACAACTAGGGGTGTCAATGGGTCGGGTCGGGTCGGGCTTTCATGATACCCGACCCGACCCGAAAACAATAGGGTTGCGCTTGACCCGCCCAGACCCGGCCCAAGACCCTGTTCAGCATACACCCCAAGGGTCGGGTCGGGCCGGTCTGGGCCGGGTCGGGTTTCGGGTTTTTTTCTCTTCAAACACACACACACACACACACCTTTCTCCCACTCTCTCTCCTCCTCCTCTTCATCTTCTTCACCGTTTCTCTCTCTCTAGTTGCAGACAAATTTGCAGAGACCAGAGAGAGAGAGAGAGAGATGAATTTGATATAGAGGGACAACAATCTACGAAACATTCTTCCGACACCCACCGACGAGAATCTCCTGTAAGCATCAGACTTGCAGCATAGAGCGATCTAAACCCAATCCCATCCTCGAGTAAGCTCTCAGTCCCCTAAGAGATCGACTAAATCAATGAGCTTTGATCGATTTACCTCATAGGGAAGACCTCCTCCAGCGCGTCCATCATCTCCAGCGGCCCCTTGTAAGAGCTCTGCACCTCGTTCTCCTCCTTGTCCTCCTCCTCCTCCTCCTCCCCCCTCCCTTCGACGACCGGTTCCCGGTGTCGTCGCTGTCCTTCCCGATCGAGGACAACCCCGCCGACGACGAGCCGCTTCGCGCCGGCGCCGCGCGCCCCCCTCGCCGCCGGAGGAGTCGAGCTCCGGCGGATCGAAGGTCGAGGGCCGGGCGGCGCCGATCGAGAACCCGGGGGGCTCGACCTCGACCCCGCGGCCACTAAACAGCGCGACCGACATAGCTGCCGCGATTCGTCTTCTTCACCATTTCTCTCTCTCTAGTTGCAGACAATTCGCAGAGACGAGAGAGAGTGAGAGATGAATTCGGGAGGACATGACCCTGTCGGCAGAAGCGGAGAGATCTGAGCAAGCGAGCGAGTCTAAGAGAGGGAGATGGGCCGGCCCAAAGTGTTAATGGGTCGGCCCGACCCTATCCCAACCCTAATGAAACCCCAAATTTTAGGGCCATATTCGAATAAGATTAAGGCCCGACCCCAAAATACCCCAAATTTTAGGGTCAGGCCGGGCCGACGCGGGTTGGGCCGGGCCGGCACGGGTTTCATTGACACCCCTAAATACAACCGATCAATTTAGTAGATAATTTTCTCTGGCCATTGACCCAATGACCAATGATAACACAATATACTTAATTTGTAGGGCTAGTCCATGAATCCGAAGTCAAAGAAACTCTAAAATTACCTGTCGACAATAGATGCACCAATGCTGCCCTTTTCTCTTTGTACAGGACTTGCAGTTTCTAGAGATTTGTTCCTTACAGAACGACTTGAACTGAGCTTGTAGAGATGTCTGCATGTAGTGGTCGAAGTAGGGATCTTCAACGAAGCTAAAGGGTTGCTCGGTGGTAAGACAATAATATTCAAGCTTCCACTGATTCCTCATATCGCCATACTTGAATGAGCTTTTGGCAAGCAACATGCTTGAAGAGATCCCCTGATTTGGACATCTCTTCCTCATATTCGCATTGGTGCCTCTCAAGTGGCCCATCCGACTTGATAATTCTCCTTTTTAAAAAAAATGTTACATATCATGCAAATTGACACTATTGGCATCGATCTTGAGCTCGAATATCTTCAAAATAATTGACATTTTTCTCCACAACAATGGTGCCGCGATTGCTTCAGGATTTTCTTTGTCATTGGGGTGTTGTTTGGAGAAGTGTTTTTGCGGAGTAGCTTTTGGCGTTCTCCCTTGCTATTCCTCCCAACCGTTAGGTCATGGTGTCTCATCATCATCGATCTCAGCTTGTTTTGGGGTGGAGCTAACAAGTTTATGTTGTGACAGTACTCACTAAACGAGTTTCTAAATAATTGCTAAGTGAAGTTTAAATTGAGTGGGGATGATCGAACATTATTGTTGTTGTTATTCTTCTTCATTGTGATATTTAGACTATGATTGAATCATTGTAAGGAAAAAAGGAAATAAATAAATTTGACAAACAGTTTTAGAGAGCAAAAGCATTCGGAATTGTTATAGGGCCCCACAGTTAGCCATTGTTGGCTGATCATTGGATTTATCGGGCCATGTGGCTTAGCTAAGGATTCTGAAATTGAGTTGAGCAGTTTCAAGGTCGATCCAGATTTCATCTGGAATCTACCATGTCAGGATCGATTCCCAATTTTTTTGAACCTGAGATCTACATTGTATATCTTGGAACCGAATATACAGTTCCAAGGTCAATTACAGGGTCTACCTAGAAACTGGCCATAGAAAAACTCACACAGACTAGTTTATACATATTGTCAAACATGTGTTGAGCAATTTCACGAAAGTGTGGACAAAAATCCAATTGACCAAAATTCACATTTTTCTTTGCTCACATTCAAATTCTAAATTGCGAAAAAAAAGGACAATGAGTGACCTGCTATACTCATAGAGCCTCAACCATATTGTTTGCCTTATTTGTCGCACTCGCAGATGGTTCTTCTTCACCTCCACGACCCAACGGTTCCAATTTGTGATCAAACTCATTTCATAAAATCCCTCTACTTCCATTGACATGTTATATTGGATACATCAACTTCAAATAAACATAACAATAGTAAAAAATAATTAGAAATTTCAAAATAAAGATAAAAACATTTTAAAAATAGAAAAACAAGCCCCGTACATAAACATTTAACATCTATTTCTTCTTAGAGATCATTCAATATCATCGAAGGCCGTCTCAATGGTAAAATTCAGCATCATTTTCTTTTTGTCAATTATGATATAAAGTAACAATTCATAACAATATGAATGTATACATTTGCAATCAAATCTGCTGAGGATACAGTTGATTTATTGCCATATTAAGGTTGTGTCTTGCAAGAGTTACCGGTAAAAGTTCTTGGCCTTACGTAAGTAAATGAGGGTCCAAAAACTGTATGATCTTCTAAGTGTGAACTAGCCATGATGCTTTTCTTGTAATTGACAGTCAAACTGCAGCAATGAATAATGATAAGGTAGCAAACAAAAAACAAAGGTTGCTCCATTGTCACTCAGTCAACTCGGTATACCACATTTCAACTTGCATGGATGTTTAATGAAGCCAACATTATTTATGTGGCTCAACCCCACCTGCGCACAACACTCTCCTCACACAGCCCAGACTCAGCGGCACGCCCGCCACACAGGTGATATTAGAATTTTCTGCACAATCATAAAAAAAATATAGAATAAAAAGAGAAAAGATAATCGAGACACAAGATTATTATCATAGTTCACTTTATACTAGGGCTACGTCCAACAGAGGATTCTGCTATAATTAGCACATTGCACCTATCTTAGAGACCCTCGTGCCTTTCCCTGTCAGAGGAAAGCATGGACCACACCTCAACAAGTAGAACACCTATGGATAGCACACAATGATACACATAGACTATGGTTCTTTGGCTATTGGGTTTCTAGTTCGATTTCTTAGTCTCCAGTTCCCGATCCGATTTAGTTTGGTCCCTACCTGGGAACGGAGAATCGAATCGCACAATACCAGTTCCAAATTTGTTTGAACCAAGAACCAAACCTAATTGACCAGAGTTGGGAACCGAACCAACTCGACCCAAAAAATTGGTTCGGTTTCCAATTCTACCTAGGACCCATGGTCACCCCTATTCTGAAAGGCCAACCCTAGCCAAGTTGAATCCAAAAAACAAGAAAATTTTGTTGAGCCTAGGCCAGACACTTAGGGTGCGCATGGCAACGATTCTGTATCCGGGAACTGATTCTGCTAAAAAATGATTCTTTTTTATTCTGTGCTCGGGAACAATTTCTAAGCATTTGAAGGCGTTTGATAACTGCCCAAAATTTCTATTCTTGGAATAGAAAAAGAACAGAAACGCGTTTGGTAACTACACAAAATTTCTTTTTATTAATAATATTTTAATAATTTTTGAATTTTTTTAATATTTCTCTCTTTTTTTTCTTTTTCTTCCTTCCTTTCCTTGGCCATGGCCGGTCGCCGGCCCCGGTGACTGGCCACAGGCCAGGGCCGGCGAGGGCATCGCGGCCTTCGCCACCAATCTCGCTAGATGACGACGAGGTCGAGCCTCTGTGACATTCCGAAATTTCCGCCAATTGGAAATTATGAAATAACTGAGTTTTATGAGATGTGCTTGCAGTAAATTCTCGCCCGGAACTGATCATTCCTGGGAATGCTAACCATTAGGGAAAGGCTAATAGGGGAATTAAATTCGCGCTAAAGAAAATTCGATCGTGAATGGATTTCGACCATTAAATCGCGTAAGTGATATATTCAGCCACTGTTGGTCGATCCAAGGATAGTTAGGGATCAGTTCGCCACTGTCCTAGTAGTGGATCGCGGGTGATTCCGTTGGACCACGAAACGACTTGACGAATGATTCTGAAATTATACCGAACGATCGTACCCCTCGGATCAAGAGATTGATCTTCGCGATTTTAATGACAACCGAGGTCGTCACGCACCGAACGGACTTGCACGTGACTCGATTTAGTATCAGTAATAAGTCGATTTCGCGAATTTCCCCAGCAAGCCACCCGTTAGCTCGAAACGCTCGAGATGCGTTTAATAGAATTTAATTATTGAATTTTTGCCCAAATTGGACACCGGAAAATTAGGAAGTCACGCGGAACATTAGGACGACGTTGCACGTGACACGTGTCAATTTTTGGTGCGCTCAAATTCTTCGGAAAAATTCGATTTCGGCGAGAAATAGAGAAAGTGACGATTTTGCCCTTAAGGATTTATAAAAGGTTAGTTTTGGGCAAGGGGCATTTTGGTCATTTTTGCTTTAGATATTTTTGGGTCAAAGTTCCTATTTAAGTCTAGATAAGATTCTCTCTCCTCCATTTCTCTTCCCCTTTCTGCCGTGAGCTTCCCCCTCCTCCACCGTGGGCTTTCCTTGGTCGTTCTTCCTCCACCGCCGGCACCGCCGCTCGCCGCCGCACGCCGAACCGCCCTCAAGCTGCGTCCACGCCACCCTCAAGCCACCACTATCCTCAAATCTCACCATCTCTTTCTCTCCCTCTCTCTCTCACGTGAGGCAAGACCCACGGCCAAGTAAGCCGCGTCGTCGCCACCCAAGCCGATTGCCGCCACCCGGGAGCTGTACGTCGTCGCCGCCGTTCCCGATTAAGGGCCGCCGCTTTCCGTTCTAGCCGCGATAGTCTAGAACGCGGGTAAGTCGCGCTCTAAACCCAATTTAGGACTTCGGGTATCGACGGGCGATTTTGGGCGAAATCTGTATAAAATTAGGTGCGGAATTGTATGAATTGGTAGTGGAAATTTTATGGCGGGCCTTGGGATTTAATTCGGGCATTAATTATTGGAAATTAGAAAATAACAGTGGCTGTGATCTACTGTTCATGGGGCCGTGATGGGCCGATCGGGACGCAAGTTGGGTTTTTAGAACCGGTATTTTATGGTGAGAAAGTTCCGTGAAGGATCGGAATTAATCTGACGCCGTTTGGTGGGAGAAAAATGAGAATTTACGTGTTGGATGTATATCTAAATTATAAATAAATTGTGGTGATAAATTGAGTATGTTGTTGGGCAATTGGGTGACTCTATATGCTTGTTGGGTGCACACGTGAGTTAGATTAAATTAATTATTGGTATTGCCATGTCCTATGCTGAATGTGCATGAGCTACGTGTAAAATAATGCGTGTGCGGGCCACGTGTGAAGGGCCAGTTGCGTGTGATAAATGCATGTGGAGCTTGGGCATGAGTGAAAAGGAATCGTGGTGTGGCAAGTGATTGTGGGAAAGTATTTGAAAGGGGTGAAAGTGTGAGGTTGGGATTGGGCCGAGTACCATAAACTCGGGCAGCGATCACGTAGGTCTGTTGCATTTGGCACAGGCTGAGGCTTGAAAAAGCAAGTATGAGATTCGGTCCGAGGCATGATAAGCTCGGGTGAGACCGGGATTGGACCGAGGCATCATAAGCTCGGGTTCCGATCATGTAGGCCTGTCGCATTTGGTGCGGGCTGAGTGTTGGGTCACAGTATACCTGAGGCGTGTACGTTTACGCGGGACACTGGCGAGTGGTGTGGGAAGTGATAAGTGGTCGTAGTGTACCTGAGGCGTGTACTTGTACGCGGGTCACTGGCGAGGAATGTGGATGAGACAGGATGAGAACGGAACGAGTGCATGACATGAAAATTGTGCATGCTTGCGATTGTGTTGATGTGCCTGCTATGTGATTGTGGTGTAAGTGTGTGATTGTGTTTTGTGAAATTTCTTGGAGGTATGTGATAGTCTAGGTTGGGTTTAGGGGTGTACTTGCTGAGATATAATCTCATGGTTGTGTAAACCAACAATTTTCAGAACCCCGACCTGAGCGATGAACCCTCCACCACCGCCACTCAAGACGCTTTGGAGTACCAAAGTGCATACGGAGTATGAGGTAGCCGAGTTTCCGATGGGTGACGGGATGACTGGATAAGACACACGACGACCGTGTTTGTAGAAGTGGGAAAGCTTGCCTTGGATGAGAACCATTTTTGAGGTTGAACGTTAGGTCATCGACTCC